TCACTCTCACTCTCACTCTCACTCTCACTCTCACTCTCACTCTCACTGTCTCTCTCTCTCTCTCATCCTCACTGTCTCTCTCATCTCTCTCATCTCTCTCTCATCTCTCTCATCTCTCTCTCATCTCTCTCTCAACTCTCTCTCATCTCTCTCTCATCTCTCTCTCATCTCTCTCTCATCTCTCTCATCTCTCCCTCATCTCTTTCTCATCTCTCTCATATCTCTCTCATCTCTCTCTCCTCTCTCTCTCTCTCCTCTCTGTCTCTCGTCTTTCCGTCTCTTTTCTCTCTCTTCTCTCGCAGGAGGATCCGGGCAAAGAACCACATATAAAGGACTCTTCACCCCTGCCTCCAAAAAGAGCGCCGTGTTTTTTCCTACCTCGCTGCCCTCCACTTTCCCATTCTGGAGCGCTAGCTTTCGCCCCCCCCTTGGCCTCAAGTCTTCATACAGATTCCATCGTAACATGCGTGTAAACAAGTGGTGAAACAGTGCAAAACGACAAAAGATGGGTGTGTTCCTCAGTTTCAAGGGAATGTTTTGGATAGTCAACACATGTCAAAATGACTGTTGCCTAAGGGGGGGCGGACTCCAGACATAGGATATATCAAATCTCCCACCACGTGTTCAATGATGCTTCCCGTGTTCCCAAATGGATCAGTTCTTGTTCTGAAGAAGTTGATGACACTTGGATGGTTGGAGGGCACTCATGTAGGTGGTCATTGGATTATCTTTTGTGATTGTTCTGTGGCAGGAGATTCTTATCGTGATGTGGCATGCCGTTGGCTTAGGGCCAATGAAGATCTGTGGAGGTCTTGGCTACCAGACCCGACCGCCTGTTACGCTCAGTTTGGCTTGTACCATTTGACCAGCAGGCAATTTGTGAAAGATCGAGAGGATATGAGAAATCTGGTGTGCAAGGCATGCCCCTCAGGCACCTATTCTAAGAAACTGGTGGACAGAAAAGGCTTGACTAACATTTGTGAATCTTGTCCCATTGGCACGGCCCAAGCATCTGGCGCTTCACTCGCCTGTGAGCCTTGCAACTCCGGATATTACCAAGATATCAACGGCAGCACATCGTGTAAGCGATGCGGAATTGGGAAGTACCAAGACGGTGAAGGTGAAGATGGCTGCAAGCCGTGTCCTGTGGGTACTACCACCTTGGGCTTTGGTTCCAAATCTTCTTCTGACTGTGTGTGCCATGAGCACTACATCAATGTGGAGACTGAACATACAGCGGTAGCTAAGTGCATGGCCTGCACAGAAGGCTTGCATTGCCCCCTCGGCTCTAGCTTGGAAAGCCTGAAGAGTGGATACTCTGACATTGGTGAGGCCTACACTCCAAGCCTCGAGAAAGGCGAGAGCCGGGTTGTGGGGTGGGGGTGGGCGCTCGGAGGTCGCGTGGCGAGGCGTGGCCAAGTCGTCGCTGAGGCTTCTTTGCGACGCGGGAGGAGCCCATGGCCGTCTTCAAGCGTGGGGCGAAGGAGCATAGCGTCCTTGTTCCGTTCGCAGCTTCTTGTTCCTAGTAAGGCCAGGAGCCCCGTTCGTAGCGTCCTTTGCTCCGTTCGTAGCGATGCCCTGGTAGCTCCTAGTAGCGTCGTCCTTCGTGTGGGGCGAAGGAGCATTGTCCAGGTGGACCGCCCGGAGAATGCGCTGGTGGCCGTGAGTTGGTGCCATGTTCCGAGTGCCCAGCAGGGACCTCTTGTGTGGCGGACACATGTATGGGCTGCGAGAGGTGGAAGATGGCCATTTTGGATGGATTCAGATGAGAGGGATGGTCAAGAGATGTCAAGAGGATTTTTTACTCCGAGTGATCCAATCACCCTAGATGAACTTTGAACTTTGATCCTGTGCTTTGCTGCTTCTTTTTCGGTCTAATGTATCTCCGGTGTCATTGAGGTACCCCCGGTCCGGTTTTGACCATTCGTCCAAACCGTCCCAAAAAGACAGAAACACAGGAGAAGTTCTGTGCTTTCATGTGCAACATGTTGTGTACTGTAAGAAAGAATCTGAAGCAACATCCATGCTTTGCCCCTCACCTTGAGGCTTTGTGGCTTTGCTTGCTGTTGCTGTTGATGGCGGGGCTCAGCTTGGCCTACTATGTGATGAATCCCCCCTTGAGGTCGAAGGCCTCACCGAGGGAGGCCATGGGCATTTGCTTTGGCATCGGTGTGAGCTTGGTCCAAAACTTGGCCATCATGGGCTTGATGACTGTGAAGTGGTCTGGCAGTTTCTGGCCGAACTGTTGAGTAAGTTGCTTTGTGTTTAGAAGGCACTTGGCCTTTCTTTGCTTTTTTGCCTTTGTGTTCGGGAGGCACTTTTTGGTGTTGTTTTGGTGTTTGGATCCAAACACGCAAATGTGAAGAAGCAAAACCGCGCTTCTGATTGATTTTGTGGTAGTGCTCAGCCGGAACTCCAAAAACTGCAGGCTTCCAAACCGTGTCGGATGCGTCTCGAATTTTCCTGCTTGATGTCGAGAACCTGTCCGTGTCCTGCCTGGTGAATGGCCCCACATCATTGCGCTACATCTCTTCAGTCTTGGTCTTCCCTGCCGGACTTTCGTGGTTGGCCTTTTGCTTCGTGGTGTCCAAACGAGCCCCTGCAGCCTGTCGTTTGCGTGGTCACGTTTGGTCAGAAGACAAGACCAAGAATACGATGGGACACTTCTTACAGGTGGTTTCGGGTGTTTGCGTGGTTTCGGTTCGGAACAAAGAGTGGATCAAAGAATTCGTTACTGTGACAAGAATTCGGATGAAAGGAGGAACTGTTCATGACAGATTCCCATGTGCACTTGCCCTGAGGTTGGCTTCAGTACCATGGCAGCTTTAGTTTTGCAGCCACTAATGTGCTATGCACATCCCAATGGCCTCCGAAGCCTGTTGAAACATCCAGGGGTGCTTTGTGGAAGTGACACACATTCGATGATGCTGGTCGCTGGGCTTTTGCTGCTCGTGGCCTTTGTCTTGAGCTTTATCGGAGCCTGTGCATGGGCAGCATACAAACTTCCTGCTTGGAGCGCAACGAATCCAAAGGCCAGAAAACAACGCCTGTTCAACTTTTTATGCACAAGCAACTGATCTATGGTTTTTTTGCCCCTTCATTTCGTTTCCCGTTTTTCCCCTTCACACACCTTTTTCTACTCTTTTCTTTCATGTCCCCCTGTCTTCATGTCTTTTCATCTCCTCCTTTCTTTCGTTTGCGTACA